GTTGAATAACGTATACCAAATCATCAAATAAATTGTATTTGTATGTCTTATGTCTACACTGATTATATTAGACATAGGTCTGTAGGTTCTGCGTGTTCTTTATCCCCATCTAACATCATTACTGCCTTTCTTATAATAATGACCAGTACATTTTAACACATATTTGGAATCCTTTGACGGGAGATTCATGCATTACAACTGTTGACCAGTCTCATCTCATCAAAGTTAGAATGCGTATTTTATTTCTAATGAGGAACGATGTATAGTGGACTCATCTAATTGTTTGACTAAAACCCCTGTACTAATTTTTATAGAGCTTGCGACAAAAAAAATGCAAGAGGTTGCTATCCTTTATTCCGTCGTCGTCGTCAACATTTAGGTTTGATTTGTGTTCAAAGATTTTTAGACATCAATAACTTTCTGAAACCTTCACGGAAATTTATGAAACAAGGACAAAAGATTTTTATTGATGAAAAGACAGAATTCTGAGTTGTATATAATTTCCTTCATGTTTCCGTATTTAACTGATAATAAACTCATCATAGATACCAACATTAGAATTTTGTACAAAAAGGCAACAGTAGTATACCGCTGTTCAATAGTCACAAATCGATTAAGCGAAAACAAATCCGGGTTACAAACTAAAACCGAGGGAAACACATCAACTGTAAGAGGAAAACAACGGAACAACAGAAACGTTGAACTGCAAAAAAAAAAAACAAACGCCAACATACATAGAAACGGACTATTTGATAACAACTGCCATATTTGTACGCCAGACGCGCGTTTCGTCTACAAAAGACTCATCAGTGACGCTTGAATCAAAAAAGTTAAAAGAACAAATAAAGCACGAAATGGACTTTAATCGTAGTTAAACTAAGATAAAGTTGTTGTTTAGACATTAATAATTTTGTCAAATCTTCAAAGAATTTTAAGAAACTTTGGCAGAAGCCTTTTTTACGATAACGAGATACATTTACTGTGTGAATCAAAATTTTGAAAATATATTTGTCATTTTCCCATATTTTATAGATATATGTAAGAGAACTTTGCTTTTCTTTGCAGTTGATATTTACATACAGTCTTAGGTTAATTTTTTAGACATCGATAACTTTGATGAACCTTCATGGAATGTTTTGAAACTTGAAAAGTTTCTTCACGCGCTGATACAGATCAATATTTTTCTTCTGTATTTTATTGATAAATGGACTTAGTCTTATGGCAGTCGGCATTAAACTTTTACAACGACAGCAGCAATCGCAACTGAGACACAGAGTTCCTCAGCAACATTTTTTTTCTTTCGTAAATAATGGACGTCCAGAAAATTGTAATGAAGTATACTCATCCTAACGATCCTACTGCCTGTCGATACTTTTATTTTGGCATTGCACAAGTCATGTCTTCTTTGACTGTCTATGTTCACTTCTGTACTCGTACTGTGAACAACAAATTTATTAATTTTGTAAAAAAATTTTACTCCCATACTCCTAACAACAAATGTATTATATTTAAATTTACCTGTTTACGTAGTTTTATTTAATGCCATTTTGTCCCGGGTAAGAGTTGTCTAATTGACACTCTTCCTATATCTTTTTTTATTACTACCTGTAACGTCTATGTTATATAGGCACCTACGTTTTAATTTTGTATTTATATTGTGTCTTAGATCAGAATTATTCGTTCAGTGTATGTTTACTTGTTTTTGTTTAATGTCTTTTTGATCGAGTTAGCCATTTCAATTGATATTTTATAGTGTATCTTTGTATGTTGTAATGTTACACTCATTTCTCAGGTTAGGGTGAATGTTGACGCCTGTTAAAACGTTTAAAACCCGCTGCATTTTTATGCACCTGTCCTAAGGCAGGAGGCTGTTTTTCAGTGGTTGTCGTTTGTTGGTGTGGTTCATAGGCGTTTCTCGTTTCTTATATAGATTAGACCGTTGGTTTTCCTGTTTGAATTGTTTTACACTAGTCATTTTGGAGCCCTTTATAGCTTGCTGTTCGGTGTGAACCAAGGCTCCGTGTTGAAGGCCGTATTTGACCTATAATTGTTAACTTTTTATACATTGTGAGTTGGATGGAGAGTTGTCTCATAAGCACTCATACCACATCTTCTTATTTATATCAATCAGCGATGTCACTAAGATGTGGATAATTTCTTATCGAAAACGTATTTGTTAAATTTGGTGTATTGATATTTTAACAAATTGTCGGTATCACAACACAAAGGGTAATAGTTGTGCACCATTTTCGCTGACTTGATTTTGTACACATATGAAGTTTAGTTATACAATTAGTATTATGACCCCATAATGCACTGCTTAATTGCTGACATAAGTTATAACAAACTTTCTAAAATCACGCGTTAATAAATTAAGAAATGGTTAAGAAACTAAGGTTCCAACTCCCTTATGTCTAGTTGACCTTAAATGAAATTAGTTATTCTTTTTAAAGTCCCCTTCTGGTCACAAAGCTCCCATTGTTTCTACGTATTTGTTCATTCCTGGATTTCAAATGTTAAGGTTTGAGCGTTCATGATGATGGTTGATCCAAAAAAGCGCGTCGGATACATGAAATTTTTAATATATTTTTTTTTATTTATACACCATTCACTGTAAAAAAGGGAAAACACATCTTGTCAACTTCTTTAATTTCACTTATAGATGTATAATAAATGATGATGTCCTGTCGCTTTATAAATCACATTTCAGTGATTGCTTGCATCACATATATCAAAATGAATGAGGATACTATCAAAACAAGAACTTCTGCTTCAGATCTGGGAATTTTTCTTGATAATTACACAAATGGTCAACTTCAAACTGTACTCTATGAAAAAAGTAATGATTTCAGCAATCTCATTGACAAATTCAATTTTTCTCAGTAGTAACATACTTTCCACCTAACCGTTCGGATTTCATCAACTACACACGCGTATGTTCACATTATACAGACCCCACCAGCAGGGATGTGCTCCGGACTGTCACAATCACAAATTGGTTTACTGTTGAACTCAGACGCGGCATGCACATGTTTGCGCTGTCTTCAATTTTTCTGATTTGTTTATGTACTGAATGTGATATTTTTACTTTGTGTGATGTGCATATCGGTTGATTCGGGCAAAGAAGGAGACACTCACTCAGTAGTCAAATCTGGATTTGAATTCTGGTTATTCCGATTTGTCAGTTTTTTTTCTGAATATTCTATATGGATTTACGGATGGATATATGGAACAACGGTTTACTACTGATATGTTTAATTTACTTCAATACATGATTGTTTGCACGTAGCGCGTTTTTTTTTACTAGGATGTGTAGAATTTGTAAATTATCTATGTATATATATTACTCAATTTAATTTACAGGAAAAGAAAAATACCATTAAGTAAAAAATAACAATAAACAAAGTAGACAATGGAAAGAAGACATCAGTAAATAGTCACACTTATGCAACGCGAATTATGAAAATAAGAAGTCAAGGTTATCATTATCTACTTTTTTAAAGTCACCAAGGCCTCTTTCCCGTTTATAGCCTCGGTCCTTTGCACCATAATTATAGCAGATGGGTAGATGTGACGTTTTACTCTCAAACAGTCTCAAATATATAGACCATCGAAGTGGACGAAGTTTCTGATCATAAGAAGATACTTCAGGGCACACGTTAATGTATCTTTTATTCAACATTAATGAATGTATCATGCAAACAATATTATTAGTTAAGATTTTAACTAGTATAACATAAACAGTACTTAAATTCATTCTACCAAGTTGAACATGGTATTTTCTATTACTAACATACATTTAGTTGTGAATTACTATTTATTTTCACTTAAATTGTTCAAAAGCTCAAATATTTCTTAAAGCAAATGTTAGACTTGGCACTGTACTCTTTCCCTTAATTCTGACATAACCGATTCCTATTTATCACCAGATTTTTACCTGTAATGAGTAACACAATGTGTGCTAATATTGGGACAGAAAATTCTTTAATTTCCGGAGCGCCTTAGTTCATCACTTGTTATTGATGGGGCTCATGTTGCTTGATCTTTAATTTTATTTGTAGTGGTGTTTTGCACTGTCGTCGTATTTTTGTCATGTTGTTTTCTTTTTACTTCGTTTCTTTTTGAGATTTCAATGTCGTTCAAACACAGTTGCGTAAACCTTTTAACAAAACAAAAAAAAAAAAAAAAAAAACTGTTCATAGATTTATCTTTTTTATCTCGTATGTTTAAGACGACAAATGACAAGATTTGTAAATACAGGTACAAGTACAGAAAATGTATATGAGGCCTTTATCGACTTATTAAAAGAGAGAAATTATATAATATTGAAATAACAATTCAAATTTTGAAACTATGTTTGCCTAATAACACTTCCTGATCGGTTTATTTGAAATTTGATTAACTGATTGGCACCGATTAGATACAAGTATTGTTATCGACATTATATCAACATCAAATAAATGCTTCCATTTTATTCAATTTTAATCTTAATTTTGATAAGCTTTCGTTTTTTAAGGAGTTGCATAGTATGCATTTATAAATGTTAACCAGCACACATATGAAGATTTTATAGAATTTTAAAGGATTCATTTGAAAAAAAAATATGTTTGGTATGTAAGGACGAGAAGACACGAGAACGTTACATTTATTTACTGTGATGATATATATTATAATATTACAAATTAATGTAACAATTGATTGTGATGTATGAGGATTATATATGGTTTACATAATGTAACAGTGATTACACGAATTCAAGTGCCATGAATATGCCAAACAATACCTTATTCAATACCATACTGCAGTCATCATCAGCAAATGTGTCACTACATTTTCTAAACACAATCGCATACAACTCAACCACCTCAGAACATACACCCAGTGGTGATGAAGTTCACGCATTAAAAAATGCAGAAAGTTACGTGTGGACATATTTATCGCCTTTTTTAATTCTTATTGGAGTGTTTGGTAACTGCCTCAACTTGGCTGTTTTGAAAAAGATGCGATTTTGGCGACGGACGCCATTGCTTTTATTAGCCGTTTTAGCAATAACGGATATAACAGTTTTGTTAGATGGTCTTCTACGCTATTGGATTGAATACACCTTTAAAATAGACATCCGAACTTTGTCAGATGCAAGCTGCAAAATCAATTTATTCATCCTTTATTTTGCAATGCAATACTCCTCATGGATTCTAGTGTGTCTGATCGTTGATAGATTTATCAAAACAAATTTTCCATTCTTATACATGCGTGTAGCAACTATTAAGAAAACATCCGCCATTGCTTTAGTTGCTTTTATTATTTTAGCAGGAATTAACATGCATTTCTTCTGGACAAACGGAATAAAAGGCACAGACGGATCATGCGGTAACGTTACACCAGAATACGAGTACTTCGGAGAATATGTATTTACATATATAGATTTAGTTATTCTATCTCTTTTACCGTTTACAATCATGTTGATTCTAAATATTTTCGTCTATAGGGCTCTAAAAAAGCATCTTGAATTTAGGAACGCGTCCGTAGTTGTGTCACGAAATAGCAGGAGAAAACCAAACAGACATTTCAGTAAAAAACTCACTCGAATGTTATTGCTAAATAGCACGTACTTTTTACTTACTACAGTTCCCATAAGCGTATACTTTATATACGATTCTTATAATAAATATGAAGATAAATTGAATAAGGCTAAAATGGGTGTTGCTAAGTCGGTGTTGTATATATTCCAGTATTCAAACTATTCGCTCGATTTTGTATGGTATGCTACATGCAACAAAGTATTCTGGGAAAAAGCGAAAGAAATTTTTGGATTTAAACCACAAGGGTAAGATATGATAAGACAACATTTACTGTTTTTGTATTCTGTATACTTACGGTGCTACATGTTGATCAGAATCTGCTCACCCTTCCATAGCACCTGAGGTCACCCGGTTTTTGGTGGGGTTCTCAATCTTCAATTTCTATATTGCGTTTTGTATACTGTTGTTTGTCTTATGGTTGGTGTCAGTTTGTCTTCGACGGATGATTTTGGATATCTCTTTAGTATTTTTCGCCTATCTTTCTTAATCATCGGGTAAACCAGAAAGGAGTAGTTTCCTCGGAACTAGTTCACACCTCAGCCCATTAAATATATATCTCCCAATTATGATTAAGATATATAAAAAGTCAGTTTCAGTAATGTATTTTGAATATGATATAATCTTTTGTCGTTTTTCTAAACATAAAACCGAGGTATTAATGTTTTTAGTGGATACAATCTGCAAATTTTTCAAAAGATTTCGGCATATTTCAAATAAAAAAAAAAGTTAATAACAGGGACATGCAAAGTAACAAATAAAAAAATTGTATTAAAATTAAACGTATAACGATAAAAATTATTGTATTATTAATTATTTTTTATCTTTCTATTTTCAATATAAAACTTTTTTAAAAACATAAGAATTTGAAATATGGTATCAAAATTGTTTTCATACCAATATGCATTATTACATTATTTTGGTTTTAAGGATATATGTGTAATATTGTTTAAGGATGTACTTGGGTGAAATTAAAAAAAATATAGAATTTAAAATAGATACTATAAGTCGGAAGAGCATTAGTTAAGTAACAAAATAAGCTAAAAATATTGATAGGTTATGGAGCTCCTTTTCGAGATATTTATTTTTTTTTAAATGGCGGGAAAAGGCTTACTCGGACTTTTACTTTATATTTGCATTGGTATTATTTGGGGTTGAAATCGAAAGAAAAGAAATCTAGAATCTGCTTAAATTTTGCTAAATGACCTTTTGAGAGCTATTGAAGTCATACATGAAAATAAAAATGGGTGTTATGATATTTTACCCTGTATCGTAGGAAAAAACCAAGGAGTCCGAACATCTGACACAAATTACTAAACCTCATCTAAGTACATCCTTAAACAATTAATTTAAGGATATATCATCGTAAAGATTTTAACCATCTGAGTAAATAAAAATCAGATTTGAGTTATCCATACCTATGTCATTGCGCGCATTATATATTAAATCTAAATACAAAAATTCTTACAACACAAATACATATACTAAATAAATATGTTCGAACTCAAGAATACATTACCTAAGCTGTATTTGCCAAAACCTTTGGAAATTTTGGGTCCTGAATGGTGTTCAAGAGAGGCGGAAGTATACTCCATGGCTAAAAAACGAAGAAAAAGACCAAAACACAAAAAACAGTTTACAAAACACAAAATAGAAAAACTTCGTACTTTATTTGGTGTTTTCAACCTTTTTGATTCGAGCGTCACTGATGAGGCATTTGAAGACGAGTGGAGCGTCTGGCGTACAAAATTTTAATCCTGGTATCTTTGATGAGTTTATAAAGAGCAAGTTAAAGAATTTCATTTTTATCTTATTCAGAAAAACTGAAAAAAACAGGAATGTTTACGTAATTCAAAACTCCCTCAAAAAACTACAAAAAAGTTCATTTTGCTGAATTTGGCGAATTTGTTAAAATGAGAAACGCATCGGTTAATAGTCGTTATTTATATTAAATATAAAAGCCCGAATTTTTACTAATGCTATATATGGACGGTTATATTACACGAAGACTAAGTCTCCAAAAATACAATTTTGTTTGGGATACTGTCATTTGAACACTTACAGTTGAAATAGGATTTCGAAAACGATACATTTACAAATGTATAAAGAATACCCAACAAATGATTTAAACACTATTTAACAATTTATCACTAAAACCTATTGCAAAAAAAAAAAAAAAATACACATTAGTTAATGTTTGATCAGTATTTAGGGACTTAACGAGAGCCTGTCATTCGCTATTCAAAAGGTCGACCCCAACAGACGTACATAAAAACGGAAATAAGGGCAAACAAGACAAAACCTTTATACAGAACTTTTGCCTAAAAATTCATTAACAATATATCATATTGGCCATTTAAAGGATACCACCCTTAACGGATTATTTGTCATACTCATACAGTTAAATGTAAAAAGATGATACATAATAAATCTCAAAAAATATTTTCTAAATGAAAGAGTAAACCTGTTTTAATGTTTCAATCTGTACTTTCTGGAAGTCTTTTAAATGCAATGAAATACGCGAGAAGCAAAAAATAAAAGCTCATTATGTAATTAAAAAGTCCCTAGTTTTCCATACAGCTTCATGATTCTACTTTCTTGTTATTCATATCTATAATACAACATGTCAACTACAGAGAATAAAAGTTAAAAGATTGTACCGGGATATTGAAGAATCGAAATTTTTTATTTTATATATTTGTGATAATCCATAATCATAGAAAAAATGAATACATATGTGGAAAAGTACAATATGTTAATGTGGTATTTTGCACAGATGTAGATGATCTTAATGATTAATCTAATTTTAAATTTCTGTTTCAGATTCAAGTACCAAAATAAAACAAGAAGAGTTAATAAACGGTCATCCTCCATTTCTCATATGACGACGTCGCTCGATAATTCAATTAAGGAAATGGTGTCGGATGCGTACGCCGAACATTCAGACTATTCGGAGGACATTCAAACCAAGGAAAATGTTGATTATGAGCAACATTTTCTTGCGGCAGTATCAGTGGACACGTATCAACATATGTAATTTCTAAATAAAGAAGTTTCACTGCAGGTTTCTGTGATAAACTCATTTTGATCTGGGATTTTTATTTCAATTTATATTGTTTGTCTGATTGTTGCTTTTGTATCTTTATTGATGCTTTTAAAAAATACATATGAAGCAGCCAAATGTTTTTATTTTAACTCTCATGGAATATATTTTCTTGTAGTAAAAACTGTATATAATTGGATAGAGTAATTTAAACGTTTTCACGATTCTAATTTAATAATCATTCGTCATGGTATTTAATATCTGCTCATATTCAAAATACATTAATTGTTAAAAGTATCAGGAAATAATGTATACGTTGAAGATCAAATGTCCTTTTCTGTCTCTTACCACCTTTTAGACAAAGCTTAGGTTAATAGATTGATTAATAATTTCTTGTTCTTTTTAATAATAACTGCATATGTTCATACTGAACATATTAACAGTAAATAATCCATATTTTCTGGCATAAAATGTTTGAACAAAGGTATAAAGGTATACCTAATGACATATAAACAGCAATATAATTTGAAATCAATCTCTAAATACCCTTCATTATTTACTATATAATGGGCCATCTACCAGGCGCTTCAGTATTTGTCATATTCCTCATCAGAGAGGTTTTAGATGAAATGTATTTTTGCTAAGTTCAGGTATTCCTTTGAATAATTGTTTAAAACTTTTAAATATGGCAATACATCTGGTTATTTGGTCGATAAATATAGTATTTTGTATTCTCTTAAAAAAATTCAATTTAGTATTTCTTTCGTTCTTTCCGTATGATTGGAAACAGCAAAGCTTTGTGTTTCCAAGGAATTTTGTACATGAAATGTGTGTTTTTGCAGTTAATACCAATAATATTAAGATCGTTTTCTATTTTTTTTTTGCAGCAAAGTCACAATTTTTTTCACCCGACATTATTAGTTATCAAGGTGCTGTTGACATGATGTTATAATTGTTCATGGTGATTTAAATAACTTTTCTTTCCTATTGTATATTTTTACTAGGCTGATGGTGATGTGCTATTGGTTTTTGAATGTCAGTTGCTACGATATAAGCCTATTTACAGGAACGTTTCAGATTTTAAGGCACGTTATATATTTGATTATTACAAAAATCCTTTAAAGCTAGGATATAAATATTGTAATTTGGTAAAAACGTTTACTAAATTTTATTACAAATCTGCCGATTTGTTGCTAAAATGCGATTCCACCTTGAAGAAGATAATAAAACAATTGTATTTCGAAACAAGCTTTTCACTGCGATATTATTAATAACGATAACAAGTTTATGATGTGTCTTTTTCATCTTATATTTTTTTTCAGAAATTTAATTTGTATATAATGTTTTTTTGATGAAGTATACAATTACTATAGAATTAAGTGTTTTATGCACAACTTAGCAAAATATGGTACTTTAAGTTTCATGTCTATGTTTTCGTTCATCCGTTTGTTCGTCCGTCCTAAAACACTAAATTCTATAGTAAGTGTACACTACATTAAAAAAACATATACAGGATTAACGTTTTTGTTTTAAGATGGGTTAACCTTTGGTTTAAGTTAAGTTAAGATATTGATTTATGATGGGTTAAATGATTACTGCCGCCTGACTTCAGACAGGAACATAATATGGTTGGGCTCTACCAATTTTACATGCGTACTCCCTGGTTATACATATTGAGACCATATTTCGAAAAAAAGTACTAGTAAAATTTACAATTTGAAACATGCCTAGCACAGTTATGAACAGGATGTCCACTAGCTTTAACAACGAATTAAAAGAGTGCAAATAAAATAAGAAAATCAATAAAAATAACTTGATAAGGTAGCCACAACTATCGAGTGAATACTGTAGCTTAAGAAACAAAATAAAATCTTCAAGCGGAGGTGCGCTTAGGACCATTTTATTGCCCGAGACATAATTCAAAATGAGCTGATATTTACGTAAAGATAATTAATAATGCGGTATGTTTAAACCTTACGATTTTTTAAATATTGAATATATGAATATGCATGGTTATTTCCGGCATGAATTAAAACGAGCTACAATATATGATAAAGTACATATATTGTCATATATTTGTGGTTTGAAATATCGGGCACATGCAAATACTAGAAAACAAATATTCACAAGAGGTGTTGTTCAAACAGAAAAACATCATGATACTTGCATATCTGCTCTATATTTAGTAGTCCAAAAACTATTTGGAACTTAACCACAATCTAGGTTTTTTCCCATGGAAACGCGTAGGAGGGACATTTCCAAATAGTCGCAACTACGGTTATTGTGCTCTATATTTAGGTGTCCAAAAACTATTTGGAAATTTACCACAATCTACGTTTTTTTTTCATGGAAACGCGTAGGAGGGACATTTCCAAGAGGTCTCAACTACGGTTATTGCATGACATCATGTATCATAAAATGCAAAGTTCAGATTTCATTGAAAAAATAAGCCTTGGACCGATTTTTGTGGTTAACCTATAATAGCTATAATCCATTATGTCCTTTATTTCATAAAAAAAAATATAAAGATGCGTCGATTTAAAATTCTGATTATTTGTTTTTGTCTAGGCACATTTATCTCGCCTTATTCAGGCATGGTTGTGGAAACCTTGGTTCTTTTTAGATGAAGATGTAGTGTTGCTGTAATCTATCGCCTTTAGTTTTAGTTCTGTTTTGTTTAATATATTTGGTGCGTTTTTATTTTGTTGTGTATATTTTGCTTTGTATTTGTTTGTGTGGTTTTGTGAAGTATTATATTTAACATGTAACCAAAAAAGCTCTTTCAACAAATATATCAGGGCAAATTGATACCAGGGACTTTATTGCGCGTGTTTTATTTTCTTTTGAGAGTTTCTAGGAAAATAAATCAGATCTCAACTATTTTTTTTTACAATGTAAGATTTATAGCAACCTTATCTAAGACTATATACTATTGTGTGTTTTAAGCATATCGACGACTCATATTATTGGGTTGATTAATATTATGGAACCAGGAAGATCATAAAGGAAATGTCAGAACAACTTATCCAAACAAATACTGTCATTTTGTATTGCTTTGTACGTGCTAAATAAACACATATTTCTTTAATTCTTTTTTTCTAAAAAAAATATATAATGATTATGTAATATCTTGTATGATGTTTTGTTTACAAAAGGTTTTGACAATCAGTTATAAATAAGCCGTTAAATCCGAAGTATTGATTTTTTGCTTTTACCAATTGATTTTCGTAAAATATAAATTCACAAAATTAATAATAAGAAAATGTTTTTGTTTCATTGCACTCATTGGTCAATGATTTTAAGTAAACTCTCTGGATTAGTCGCTGTATTTTTTTGAATAGTATTAGAATACTATTAAACAAGTGAAGCTCTCAACCAAAAGGATCGCCGAATTTTGAAAGTAGCTGATGAATCCAACGCCTACATTGTGATTTAAAAATCTATAATTCGATAACGCTTATGAATAATGACAATCTTTTAATTCCCGCCATTATGTTATTGTGCTATGGTCATTTTTTGTATTCTTGTCTTTCATTTTTGCTTATGTGCTTATGTGCTTTGTCTATATGCCATTTTGTTTTTCTTGTTGACGTATTTGTCTGTTTTATAGTGATTAAATTAAGGCATAATGTTGACTGCTGTTCCCCTATTTTTTACCAATTATGTCTGTTTGTTTTGTTCACACTTTGTTGTCAATATAATGGAATTTTATGCGATTTTCACACAAGTTTAGCTAGCTATAAAACCAGGTTTAATCCATCATTGTCTACATAAGGAAACGCCTGTACCAAGTCAGGAATATGACAGTTGTTTTCCATTCGTTTGATGTGTTTGAGCTTTTGATTTTGCTATTTGATAAGGGACTTTCCATTTTGAATTTTCCTTTGAGTTCGGAATTTTTGTTATTTTTATTTTTTAGCAGCATAACTTACGGAATACATAATACGCAGTTTCTTCACATATTCTCAGAAGCGCATTTTGGTTGCAGAGCATAGGGTTTTCTTCCTTCCAATCCAAGGGTACATGATGATTTGCCTAGACATTAACGGTAGCAGGCGTCTCTATGATATCTGCATTCATGCAAAAGTAATAACATACATAAATATAATAAGATTAACAAAACACCTCATTGAAAGCCAGATAAACGAAAGGAAAGGAAAATACCTTTTAAATAATTCATTTGGTATTTTGCATAGTAAGAAGCACATATCCTGTCGATACACCAAGTTACGTAACGTTCGGAGTTCATGCAATTCCCTAATATGTTATTTTAATCTATTGAATTTTAAAACTCAACTTAATATTGTTTCGTTGCAATGACTTCTAAACGTGCAGTTTTCAATTTGAACAAATATTATTGTGAAAAATTAATTATGCGTGTAAGATATATCGATATCCGTGCCAATAAAAAAACTGAAGCAATTAAAGTGCTTACATACCACCATCTTGTAAAAGGAAACACCTAGAGCTTAAATACGACGCTGCGGGAATAAGATTGCAGGTCACTAATATTAGTTAAAACAAAACGTTACAATTTGTTAAAATGTTATTTCTAAACAATCAAGATTTGGAAAAAAAAACACGATTTCAATGAGCACAGAACGATTTTCTACATGAATAGTCAGGATACGCTTACCCTGTCGACGCACCCGACCTCGTTCCTTTCGGAGTTTATGCCATTCCCTCTGTTTTTATTTGTTGCCTTTATTGTTTTCTTCCGAGTCGATTTACGAGATATGAACGGTGAACTGCTGTTTCCTTTAATTGTAATTATTATGTTTATTTATCTTGGCCTAAT